TATGAAATTTGGAACAATTGGTACAAATGGCTACAAAACAAGAATAAAATTAATTAAGCCAAAAAACAAGATTTATAAATATATATAGAACTGTGTATAAAGGTGTGTAAATATAGAAGCGAAATATTATATATATGTACAGGTATGAGGACATAAGATGTTGTAGAAGGGAAAAATAATTTTAAAAAATCTGCTAAAAAAAGAGATTAACAGAATAATAGAGTTGGAGGGGACCTTGGAAGTCTTCAAGACCAACCCCATACTCAAGCAGGAAATCCTATACCCGGGATGGCAAACCTATGGCACACATGCCACAGATGGCACGCAGAGCCATTTGTCAAGGCACGCATGTGTGTGCTGGCCAGCTGAGTTCAGTTGGCCTTTTTTAAAGCCATTTTTCGCTCTCCCAGGCTCTAGAGCTTTCAAAAGAGCCTGGGAGGGCGAAAAGAGCCTCTCCCGCTGGAGGCCCTCTGGAAGCTTCAGGAGCTTCCCTGAAGCCTCTGGAGCGCAAAAAAAAACCAAGGTCCTATGGGCAAACCGGAAGTTTGGGAACAGACTTCCAGTTTGCTCATGGGGTCGGTTTAAGCCCTCTGGAGGCTTCAGGGACTTTTAGGAGGCTTTCCTGAAGCCTCCAGAGGACTAAAAATGCCCTACAAGCAAACTGGAAGTCACTTCTGGTTTGCTTGTAGGGTCGTTTTTAGTCCTCCAGAGGTTTCAGGGAAGCCTCCTGAAGGTCCCTGAAGCCTCCAGCGGGGGGAGGCTGTTTTCACTCTCCACAGGCTCCTGTAAAGCCTCTGGAGCCTGGGGAGGGCAAAAAAAGCATGCAAAAAATGGGAGTCGCGCCTCTCATGCATGCATGCACACTGGAGGGGGTTACACATTGCATTATGGGTGCGGCGTGCCCATGCACGACCCGCCTGGGCTCTCTTCCTTATGGCATGTGAACCAAAAAAGGTTCGCCATCGCTGCCCTATACCATTTCAGATAAATAGTTGCCCAGTCTTTTCAGAAAAACCTCCAGTGTTGGAGTAATCACAATCTTTTGAGACAAATCATTGCACTGATTAATTATTCTAACTGTCAGATAATTTCTCCTTTGTTCTAGGTTAGTTCTGTCCTTGATAAATTTCTATCCATCCCTTCTTGTTCTGCCTTCAGGAGCTTTGGAGAATAAGTTGACCTCCTCTTCTTTTTGGCAAAGCCTCAAATATTGGAATACTGCTATTGTGTCACTCCTAGTTCTTCTTTTTATTAGACTAGACATATCCAATTTCTGCAACCATTCTTCATATGTTTTAGCCTCCTGTCCCTTAATCATCTTCAGTCTCTTTCTCTGCACTCTTTCTAGAGCCTCAACATTCTTTTTATATTGTTGCAACCAAAACTGGATGCAATATTTCAAGTATGGTCTTACCAAGGCATTATTGAATGGTACTAACAAGATGCTGCTGCTTTTAAGAATTGTAGGAACTCTCATTTTTCACTGTCTTCCCAAAGAATTTGGCTCCATTAGATAAAGTAAACTCAATTTGCTTTGTAAAATAATTGTCTCCTGTCCTGGCAGCTGGATTGACTGCAGGGCAACCTCTGGGAAAAGTGGGGAGAGTCATGGATGCTTTTTACAGTCTTGTTCAAGCAAGGAATAGATGAGCAAGCTGGCTGGCAGTATTTCATATTTGCATTTTTTCCCCCGAATAATCTGGAACACAAGAGGTTTTGGACAAAAGAAGATGGAAGGGTCTTTTCAATTGCAAATTTCCTGATGAGACCACCTGACCCCTTACTCTAGTTCCTCTTTTTTCTTTTCTTTTTTAAGTTGTTTCTCAAGAGACATGTATATCCTTGCGAGAAATAGGCTTAACTTCCTAAATCCTCAATAATCATTCTATTCCCCAAAATCTACCTCTCACTTGATGGTTCCTCCAATGTATACACAGGCTGGTTATGGCCCGTCTAAACCTGAAGCTTTTCCTATAGTTTTTTTCCTTTTGGGGTAAGGAATCAGTATATGTGAAATTCTGAGAACTATCCATTGTGGTTAAGATCAAGTTAAGGGTAAGGGAACAGAAATTCTGGAACAACAATTCGAGGAGTAAATTTATTTGCCTTACATTGATTATTGCACAGTTAATACTGATTCCTTGTGTTAAACTGAGTCAAATTAAAATATTGCAGAATTAGCAAAATAAGATCATGTTTGGGTTTAGATAGTTTGCATCGCTATTTTGGGGGCACATTATGGTACAATTAAGGAGTAGAGTATGGCAAAAAGCAAAAAAGTATCCATTATCTTCCTATTTGAAGATCTACCTGTCATAGTGCTGAAAGTAATATTTTTCCAAGCAACATTATTCATATTTCTTTATTTTAAAATCTGTTTGATTTCTAGTTTTTATAATACATTTAAATATAAATTTCCAGCAAATTTTCTCTAAAATGCGTGGTTTAAAATATACTTCCATCCAGTTTTCCCATGTTTTTAGAACTAAGAGTTGCCTCAAAGAACTTTGGATGTTCTTCTAGCTGATCAAGAATAATGAGAATTGTAACTTTCTGCAACCATGAAAATACTGTATCACTCCTAACCTTGGGTCTTTTTGTTTTTTGTTTTAATGTACAGAGATGTGAGCTATGTCCTCATAAAGATGGAGCACTGAAGCGGACTGATAGTGGAGGTGAGCTTACCTTTGAAGATATTAGGGCAGTCCATATATCATTTCTCAGTCTAAACAAGAAATATTTTGGTTTTGAGCTATTTTTCCTCATCTTTTCCTTCTGCCATGGCATGTGGATTTAAAATCAAGATTAAAATGGTAGCACAGTAGTAAGTGTCACTTGTCTATGAGATGGATGGTCATATAAATTTGGTTACTATAAGTAAAAGCAGATAAAAAATAAGCAAAATAATTAAAATTCAGAACTATTAAGGTCATTATTAAGAGACATATCATAATTGGATTTCAATCATCCGGTGCCCTTCAGTTCCACTTTTTAGATTTCTTCATAGGCAAAGTTACTCTCCAGCTCTGAAAAGCCAAAGATTTTCCAAAGGGTGAATGCAGTTCATGAAAAACATTTCTCACTCTCTCCCAAATTTCCCAAGGGAAAAGGCCCTCAGCATATCCACATAGGACACAACATTAACACAGATAAAGTCTTGAAGTCAACTATCCTGTATAGGTACCTGAGAATCACATTATGTTTGGTCAAAAAATTGAATTTGTACCTGGAGGCCTATTGACAGCCAATGCAGTGCCTGCAACAAAAGTTTAATGTTTGTTGCGGCAATTATTCCAAATGCTTGCCAACTCTATTATTATGAAATGACAATACTGACACTTCCTTACTCCATCCCCAGAACATAAGAAGTTATGTCTCACTTGATCACCATTACAAATAATAATGAGTGTATTTTTGCTTCACCCAATGACACTTTTTCATGAAGTTTTTAGATTAATCAAGGCTCTTAGAACTGTGAACAAATGAAACTTGGAAGCATGAGAAAGAAATTATAGTTGTTTGAAATCTTTGAAAAAGGGATTAACAAAGATGTCATTTTTACTGTGACAATAAATCTTACATATTGCCAAAAAAAAAAACAAACCCAGGATGTCAATCTTTCATTCAGGTTTTTATATCATCAAATCAATTGCTTGTTAAGTGCTGGAACTATAGTTTACAACAGCGTAGAATTACAATGTTAATTTATAGTTGTGAATGCATGTTTGAATAGAAATACAGTACTTCTCACAAAGTTGGAGAAAATGCTGTAATCAGGTGATCTGTATGTTTGTTAACTCTCCAGGTGCGGACGGATGATGGTCAAATTCAAAGCCTCGATCTTCTCCCTTGATAGGATTATATATTTTGAACTAGATTTGGGCTGTATTTTTTTCTCTTAGAAAGCAAATACCCTGTGCATCGATAATTAGCATATGGGAGAACACCTAGAAGTCTTCCCCCTCAATCTTGTGTCTCTCAATAGAGATAATTGACTCTGTTTGGAGGAACAATAGTTCATTAAGGGCGTCACTTGTGGTCTGAAAAATGTAGTTTTATTATCTCAGTGAAAATCAGGCCATAAAAGCTTGATCCCCCACAGAAACCAATTACAGTCTGATTTATGCCTTTTTCTGATATGTTCCTTATTTTCTCCATGTCATTTTTGTCCTTCTGGCATCCAGGCTGGGCCCATGTTGTCTGTGCTCTATATATCCCTGAGGTGCAGTTTGCGAATGTTCTCACTATGGAGCCTATTGTCCTCCAGTATGTGCCCCATGACCGCTTCAACAAGGTAAAGGAGAGATCCATCACAACTTAGCTAACCCACTCTATTTTAAAGTCTTGGGGCCAGGTCACAGATTTAATTATGTCACACATTAAATTAAATACTAGCATGTAGTTCCCCTGTCTTTTGTTTGCATTACTGTGTTTTTTAAGTGTGAGGGCCCAATCCTTTTTCAATAAAAAATGAATAGAGATTTCTCCTTATGATGTCAACTAATTGTGACCATATGGAAACATCCATGAATTTTCTGGGTCATAGAAGAAACTTGGTTTCTCAATGCTTCCTTCTGGGTTGTTTTTACCGACTTTTCAGTCTCCCAAAATCTGGTAGTTTCTAATAGTCTACCATTTTAGCACTTCAACTCTGCTTTGCTTCCAAACCCAGACAAGACTGGCCAAGTAACTTAACAAAACGTTAAGCCTTCCCACCCCATTGCACTTTTTTTAAAGCGTTTCTTTCTCTTTTACAATTTCATGAAGAAAATATAAGGAACAGTAAATTTGAAAAGTAGGAGTGGAAGTTTTAAGTCTTCCTCTTACAAACATGGAAATATCAATCAAGATTGCATTCCCATGTGCTTAGAATAATATTATTCTCTCTCTCTCTCTTTCTCTCTTTCACACATAAGCACACACAAACACACACATAAAATTGCATCTTGCTTACAGAATTATGGAATTGGAAGAGACCACAGAGAGAGAAATGAAAATCAATTAAACCATCCTTGAGAAGTGGCTATTCCGCCTCTTAAAAATCTCCAGAGATGCAGAACCAAAGCCTGTGTAGACTGTTCTATTATAGTACATATCTTACTATCTGATGATCATAGTATGTGGCTTTGTTCTCAGGCTCTTTTCAGAGATCATATCGATTGGCTATGAATTCTGTAGCTCCTATATTTGACGGGCACCAGACTATCCTATGTTGTCACAAGTTATATATTGCCAAACAATGTCATTCTTAAATTTGCATTTTGGAATCTCCACCAAGAGGCATATTAGAAAAGCAGATGAAGTTTTGTTGTTTTTGTTGCAGACTTGTTACATCTGTGAAGAACAGGGAAGGGAGAGCAAAGCAGCTTCTGGAGCCTGCATGACTTGCAATCGTCATGGTTGTCGGCAAGCCTTCCATGTTACCTGGTGAGTCCCTAAGTATATATTTCAAAATCACTTTCTTCCTCCCCAATTTCTGTTCCAACCTTTCAGCTTCTTCCATCACTTTTATGATCCAATGAAATACTGTCAGCTAGTAAGAATGAAGAATTCCTCTGATTGATTGAAGCTTCTTCCTGGAACCTAAACGTTTTATGGATGTTTTCACTCTGGCTTATTTCTCCTCTTCAGTCATCAAGGTTGTGTCCATTTTCCACCAACCTACCTTCCCAGCATCCTGTTATTCACCCAATGAAAATCACAAGTCTCCATTTTCATTTCAAATCTGAGATTGGGGTGGCCATCATTTTGGATATTTAATTTTCAGTCTTTCTTTTTAAATAACATTGCCTTTGCACCAAATATGAAACCAAAAAAATTGAAGTAGTGGGTTTTTTTTTTTAAGAACTGGTGTGGGGAAAGGAGCAGGGAAGACCTTCCTAAGGAAGAGAATAAAGCAGGAATATTTAATGCTGCTTGACTGTTTCATTACTGCACCCCTTTTCTCATCTATGAGTTAGGAAAGTGACCCAGAAGGAGATTTCTGGGAAAACAATGGAAGGCAAAAGGGGAAATATGCATCCTGCCCTTGCTTTCAATTTCCGTTCTCTAAATCTTCTACTATCCTTCCTTTTCTATATGACCTAGAGAGGCCCAAATTCCTAGCCTAAGTTCATTGACAGATTTCTTGTTCAGCGAAGAAACAGACTGCAGGACTGAAAAATGCATAAATTAATAATATTCTGGTAAAGGACAGTATCTGACAGAAATATATAACCCTTCTATGGTCCCTCCCTCCATCCATCCATCCCTCTTTCTCTCTCTCTTTCTCTCTCTCTTGAAAAAGTGGATTAGCTCCACTTTTCAGAACAGAGGTCAGTTTGGGCAATTAAAAAATTGAATCTTCTTTGCTATAGCCTTTTTTTGCATCAACAATAGCAAGGAGAAATATCTTTTACCTGTTAAAAAACAAAATAACTTTTCTTATTGCTAATTAATTTATTTCTGTTAAATCGTTAGGATATATTCCACCAACATGTACTATATGAAGGTAGTTTGAGTAGATTGTGTCTCCTCTCTGATGTTATCAGTCGTTACATAAAATTTTGGATGTCTGTATGCAAAAAAGAAACGAAGGCAGTAGTACATGTCTCAGATCTTCATTTACAAACCAGAATGTGAATTGGCAGTCACTAAGAGGAGCAAGGAGATCTATGTATTGTTTTTTAGTAGTTTGCCCTATAATCATGACAGGGCTGATAGTTCTGTTATTAGGACAGGGGTGAGAAGGTTTGTACAGTAAATTCTTTATTTTATTTATATAAGTTTTTTAAAAGATCAAGAAAGTTGAATTAGTGAGCTAGGGAAATCTGGTTTGACTGGGATGCCCCAGGCCTCAGTTTACATCAGTTCACTTCCATATTTCAGTGCTCAAATGGCTGGACTTTTGTGTGAAGAAGAAGTCTTGGAAGTTGATAATGTGAAATACTGTGGCTATTGCAAGTACCATTTCAATAAAATGGTGAGTCATTACTTCTTGTTATAATCGTAAATAAAATGTAGATAGTTTTTCAAGGTCAAGCAGAAGCTATGGATATAATAAGCCCAGGTATTTTTGTATGTGCATTACTCCTGGGTTATGATCCTTTCCCAACTATTGGTCTCTAAGATCGGAAGCTTAAATCACAGAAAGTTCAAAAGTCAGTTTCAAGAAAGGAAACCAATGTAGCTGAATATGTAGGAGAAGACATTGTCTGTGGATAAGACAGAGACATTAAAATTATTAAAACAGGTATGCACAATTTTTCCAAGTCAAACACTCCCCTTAGTTTTTCATAAGCATCTTGAGAGGCAATGCTAACGAGTAGTGCAGGTTAAAGAAGTGTGCAGAAAGAACATTTAATATTTTAATTAAATTAATACGTGAAATACAACCGATATGACTACAGCACATATACTGAATCATATTCATGTTCTGTAACATTAAAAGTAACTTTGGTAACTTTTGCATAGGCTCTGAAGGATAAATCTAAAACAGTTGGAAACTGTTTTCCAACAGTTCCAAGATGGAACTGGATTTTTGGTTGTACATCTATATCAGAACATCTTAACCAAGATAAAATCCTAAAAAATATTGGCTATTGAAAGTAAACAGTTGGTTTTAGTAAGATGATAGTGATTTAAGAGAGGTTTTCCTTCCAGGGACTGCAATTTTATATTCCTTTTGCTAATACACTTTTGATTTTGAAAACCTGCAGTACTGGAAGTATCAGATGAAACTTTAAAAAAAAAAAAACCTTCACCGATATTAAGGAATTTTCATCATTCTGCAGCATTTATATCTGCTTCTTCCAATGTGCCCCACCTAGTGAGAGTGTCATCTTAACATAGGTAATCATATAACCTAATTTAAAAACAGGAACAGAATGCTACATCTTAGGGGTATTGTGGTTTTTTTCGTTTTTGCAAATTATTTGTAGCTCTTCCCTCTGCCACATATTTAGAAACACTAACATTGTTCTTCTAAATGTTAAAACTATTTCTTGTGTGGACAAGATTAACAGTCAGTTTGGAGTAACACTAATCCATTTTTTTCTGCAGCATCAATCTGCTTCCCTATCCATTTAATTTTGTTGTTTTTTTCTTTTCCTGTTATTTTTAACATTTTCAATAGCATGGCTTAACTGAAGATTTCTCAGAAAATAGGGACCAAAATAAAATCTAATGGTGGAGCTAAATTAGTTTACTTTTATCTGCCAGTTTCATGAATAAAGAAGGGATTAGATCAGCTAAATTACGTAATAGCATTTTAAAACAGCAGGTAAAAAAGCATATTAATAAGAAATTAAATCCTGCTCAGTAACAGCAATTTCTGTCAACCGGAGCATAAGTTGAACCCCTTCATACCAAGATTTCCAAGTTTCTTTTAAAAAATAGATTAAAAGACTACTAAAAAGGCATGAAAAAACAAGGAAGCACTACATCCCTTTCTCTAATATATGTTCCATCATTTTTCTTTTCTGGTTCATTCTTGTTCACTATGTGAAGAAAGTTGAGATAAAAGTCATCATGTAAAAGTCTGCTTACTCTTAATCCCAATTTCCCCTCCCATATTTTTTTTCTTGTCCTAAAATTAGCTTTCCTCTAGAAATAGAATCTGATGCTGTTTTAGGTTTGCATAAGTATAAGTGTAATATCTGCTCTATAAAGCTACCATATTTTTTGGCGTATAAGACGCACCAGAGTATAAGACGCACCAAGGTTTTGAAGAGGCATTTAAAAAGGGGGGGGGGTGCACTCTGCAAACCTCCCAAAAACGGGCCTGGTTTTCCCCCCCAAAAAGGCATAAATAGTCTTTAGGGGGCTTGCAAAGTACTCCTGGGGGGTGCCCCCCCCAAAAAGGCAAGAAATGGCCAGTGTTTTGTCAAACAAATTGCATATATAGCCTTTAGGAGGCTTATAGAGTACTCCTGGGGCTGGGGGGCAAAATTGAGCAAAAAAATGGTCCATTTTTCACTCATTTCTGCCTTCCCCAGCCGTCAGGAGCTCTCTGAAAGCCTTCTACAGGCTCTGCACGGCCATTTTGGTGAAGGGGTGGGGCTTCGGGGGGCAAAAAATGCTGTATTCAGTGTATAAGACACACCCAGATTTTCAGCCTCTTTTTGAGGGAAAAAGGTGCGTCTTATACTCTGAAAAATACGGTAAGTGTTTGCCTATTCCAAATCTATTTTTGCCAGATATATGTTGCTTCTTTTTTGGTTCCTCATGAAACTTTCAGACATGACCAGACAGGAAGGAGAACATACAGTCCTTCCTGAACATTTGTAAGAGAGGTTATCTGTTCATTACTTGAATTTTATACTTAAAAAACAGTTGTATCAAACCACAAATTTAAAGAAATGTCTCCAGTTTATTCGAAAACCCAATTTTTTTAAAATTAATGCTGAGTTCTCTACATGATGCCAATGCCATGTCTACATCAAAAAAATTATCAAATCCCTATAGCTTGAAAATTAATGGATAAAATTTGGGTGAGATCTCATTTCCCCAAGAATATTCCATAACTGACCCCAGAATATTCCTCTGCTCTGTTGTTAATGTGGCTTCTAGCGCAAGTACAAATAAACCAAATGCTTGATTCAGAGAATGGTTTCTGTCCCAAAGAAATGTCTCAACTTTTAGTTCTGCCTTGCATTCTGCATAGCCAGATGCTGACTACCTTAAAGCAGATGAACGAAACATTTATAGACAGATATAGATTTGATCCTCTACCACAGAATCATTCAGGCAAATCCTGGGATGACTTTGGGTGATTCACATACAGGGTCACAGAGGGAGAGAGAGCAATACTCAGGACAAGTTGGGAGAAGATTTAGTCAATATATGGAAATCAAGCATTACTTCCAGATAACAATGCTGAAGCGTCCAAATATCCTCTTTGAAATGAAATACTCTTCTCTTCATCACTCATTATCAAGTACAATATTGTGGATGGCCTCTGAAGTAATGTTTCAGATATTACCTTGATTTTTTTTCATTTGGCATTTTTTCATTATTAATATTAATAAGTGTATAGCTCAAGCAAATTTGCTTTTACAGATTTTTTTTATCTTGTTTTCAGGACAACCTGAACAGGGAGGGAGGTAAGGAGGGGAGGGAGGTAAGGCATAGCACTCCTGGGGTATAACTGGGGCCTCATCTCAATCTTGGGTTAATTTTCTAAGCCAGGATGGCATAACCTAAGGAACTTAATAATAGATAGTGCTGATTCTGAGTAGGTTGCCTCTCTTGTTACAGGGCTTAAAAGAAAAGCTTCCACATCATCATATTAAATTACTGTCTTTATAGGCCTGGCCAAAAGCTTCACTGATATATATTCCTATTAGGGCATCTTCCAGACAGTTTGATTCCTGAGACAGGAAATCCACATGGCATCTCCCCTTCCCTTTCCAGCCCTCTGATTAGGGCCCTATCCATGGGGAGTTTTACCATGAAATAAATAGAAGATAGATAGATGTAAGCAGTTACTGCTGTATTCTTGTGTAGATTCTGCTTCTCATTGAATTTTCAGCAGATGAATGGCTAGCTCAGCCATCTCCAACTAACTTTTTCAATATGTGTTAGACTTTGACCCCATCATTTTCAGTCAATACTAGTTAAGATTAGGTGAGTTATCTCATCATATCTGAAAAATACCCTGCTTGGAAGTCTAAAACTAGTAGATCATGTCCTTAAGGACAAACCTTCTCTCATTCTGCTTCTCAGAATCTGTCTCTGAGGGTATCCATTGCATTATCCTAATTGATAACTTCCTAAATTTAATTTATGATTTTTTTTACTATGAAAGCTAGATAGCTCTGTAATAAAGCAGAAGAGCCCATGTTCATTAATGGCATCTCTAAACCATTTTATACCTGAATTTCAAGAGTGCTGTTCCCAATTACTATCAATGGTGCACTAGCACAATACAGTCAGCATAGTATTAAGTATAGGATAGTACAGTATAATTAAATGCGCCAATGTTGAGCAGTGACCTATGTTTCTAATTAGAATGTTCTTTCAACAAACAATTGAAGTTTAGGATTAGGAAATAATATTCCTGGAGGAATAAAAAAATTGTTCCATAACCTAAGTTATGGTTTTCTCCTACATGATGAAAAGACAACAGTAGTAGCAGTAGTTTGATTGCTGATAAAATATGGTTCATATTGGACAAGAGGGTATAGGAAAAAAATTAAATACTCCCTCTGAAAACAACACTACTGATCTTTTAAGATGTAACAGATTACTATTAAACAACAACTGCTTCAAAGATCTGTTTTTGCACATTATTTTTGAGGCAATCAAAAAGGTTGCTCTGAGTCGTTTCTATTAAGCTTTGGGACTGATCAGTTTTTAGGCCAGATTGGATCTTTTTCTTTAACGGTTAAGCCATAGTCTCAAAATGATCTCTGGCAGCATCTCCAGCTTGAAGCTTGCTTGACATAAAATGATAGTGGAAACGTCTAGGAGGAAGAGGGTTTTATAAATTATTAAAGCCAAACTGTTATTGGTAGTAGAAGCCTATTAGTTCTCCCTGTTTGCTTTCACTTTTCTCTTCTATTTCCATCTAATCGAAAATCTTTTTCCTAATTCCCACTTGCCTCCAGAAGACATCACGCCATTTTGGAGGTGGTTCTTTTATTGGAGGAAGGAGGAGTCGGTCAGCATCCCCTACACAAGAGAAGCATGTGTCTCATCATGAGAAACCAAAGAAGGTAAGAGAGAAGAAGACGAATAAAAAAGTAAAATACAAAGGGCGCACATCAAAGGTTGAGAGTAAGTGCACATATTATTCCATGGAATATGTATTTTGCCTTTTTAATACCAAAGCAGATTAAATCAAATAGGTAAACGTTACCTAATTATGGTATACTGTATTCTTCCTTACTCTTTTATCTGTCAGAATTAGTACTGGTTGCATAATTCAACATCTGGAAAATATTATTTTCTGAAATAATTGGATACTTCCAGGTAACAATGAAGACAACATTTGGTTAATTTATATTACTTTTCACAAACTCAGTTATACATTCAATAACTAGCTAAGGGCAGAAACTTTACAGACTCAGGACGGTTCATGACTTGTTCTATTGTATTAATAGAGGAGAATATTGTGGCTCAGGGTTGAAATGAGGAGTCTTTGGTGCTCTCTGACCTTGCTTTTTTCTTGCAGATGTTTCATTACCCTAACTAGGTAATGCCATCAGTGCTAGTCACTAGCAATGAATATATTACCTGGTTAGGGTAATGAAATGTCTGCAAGAAAACAAGCAGGTTCAGAGAGCACCAAGGGCCCCTCATTGGTCTATTGTTGCTAAGAGGGAAGTTGTAGTTATGCAGAAGGCCCAGTTAACTACAAACCACAGAAATCCTTCTCTGTCTTCATATAAGTATCGCCTTCAAGGTTTCAATCTAGGCTTAAATCCACTCTTATAACTACAAGGGGAATAGAATCAGCCTTGTTAATTTCAGGACTGTTTTCATTTTGTGTCTCTCTCAGTACCTCTGAGCCACTTGAGGAGCCTAGTGAAATAAATAAGTTTTGTCACTTTAATCACTTTTTATAAACTAGATACTATTATAAATGTGTGTAGAAGTTGTCAGTTATTGTTTTCAAAAAATGGTGGTACTAGGAGGAAAGATGTTCCTGTTAGAGATGGCACTGTTATCAGTGTCGCTGATTTTCCACTGGCACAGCTTTTTCCCACCAGGCACCCTCCAGAAATAATGTAATTGAAACCTAGGAATTCTCAGTCAGCATGGCTATTTGCCATGCCAGGAAGGTTAAGAGATGCAACCCACATCTGGAAGGCGCCAGTTAAGGGAAGCTGGAGTACTGCAACTGTCAGATTACATCTGAAAATATTGTGTTGCAATGGACAACAGAAATTGCTTTTTAAAAGAACTTGAAGAAAATGGAACAACATGGGAACACAGACAATTCGGATGAATGAATGAACGAATAGAATTACCTTTTGCTTTTTTAACAAAATCAGCTGTAAAAAGGACTTTAACTGAACACATCTACTGCAATATAAACTCTGTTGAATTCATTGAGGTTTATTTGTGGATGGAAGAAATGAAAAAAAATAGATGGAGAAAGAATTCTAGAATTGGACAATTTTCAACTTTATAAATGGATCTTCAATGCCCTGGGTTTATAAAAGAAGAACATTCCATGTATTTTTGCTGTTATGTTTTTTAAAGAATAAGAGCCAAATGTTGCTATATTGCTTTGCTGTACAACAATTTGTACTGCACAGTAAGAAAAATCCAATCGTACGTAACATCCTGGTTTGTTGTGCATCAACTATGGTGTGGGCAGATCGTACTCAGAAGTAGAGCAAAACAGAGAAGCTATTTTTAATCCTAGGAGTTGAAATTCAAGAAGAAATATTAAAGACAGCCATAGTCAAAGTGCCCTATAATAGAGCAAATAATAGCATTTGCTCTCAACACTGCCATCCTCCCTCCTTCCCTCAAAACAATTGAAATTAAAGTTTCCAAGTAAGTGGATATGATTTACTGGCATGAATTTGGTTCCTTTTTGTAATATTAATATTTATCTGGAACAACATTAGGACCAATTTCCATGCCTTTGCATCAGGGATTGTTTTATCTTGTCAACATGCTTAATCCATTTTAGAAGTCAAACTCATATGTCTAAAAACAGACTACACTTGAATGTTGCTTCTGCAAAATGTGGAACGTTTTCTTGTCATTAAAAGCTGTGCTGTTTGTCGGTAGATAGTCTGTCCAATTTCCTTGCAATGCAGGGTTTGGTGCTCTCCTAAAGCATCTGCTGCCAGGGAAAGCAATGGAAACTGGAAAGGAAAAAGAGAGACAAGAGGAAACTTTGCTTGGTAAATATAGTAATGGAACAAAGTATTTAACGTGACACCAGACAAAAACAAAGCAGAAGGATGAGTTGGATGGTAGACAATTTGGGGAGGGGGGGAATAGATCACATCTGATAAGCTACAGAAGGGCTATATTTACATTAACTTAGAAGGAAAGAAGAGGAGAGCAAAAGCAGTGTCTAGGTATTTGTATTTTATTCTTCCTGAACTACCTCTTGTCCTTTCATCCCTCTATTGCAAAAATGGAGACTACAATGATGATGCACAACAAGAAGGACAAAAAGGGTTAGATTGTAGAAGGAATCACTGATATTTTATCTTTTATTTCAGGGGTGTCAAACTCATGTTGTCATGTGACATATCATGGTTGTTAAGTGAATCCACATTCCCCCATTAACTTTGTCTAAAGGTTTCCCCCTTCGTTAAACCAGGCTTGGTCATGGTCAGTGCTTTATGCATGTGGCCCGTGGGCTGTGAGTTTGACATCCCTATTCTATTTCAACAGAAAATAGAAAAATCTGTGTCCAATGTCCTGATTATATTCCCATAGCAACAATCCAATCAAATGGGATCATATCAAGGCATACCTTGTGTATCTCTGATGATGTCTTTAGGGTCCTGAAAGGATCTGCCATTGCTACATACCCTTGCATATACTATTGACCTTGACTGGATTCACCACATAAACAATGTTTTGCTTAAACATGATTTACTAAAAACTACTACAGGTAGTCCTCGACTTACAACAGCTCATTTAGTGACCGTTCAAAGTTACAGTGGCACTGAATAAAGTGACATAGGACTATTTTTCACACTTACGACCATTGGAGTATCCCCATGGTCACATGAACAATATTCAGATGCTTGGCAACTGGTTGATATTTATGATAGTTGCAGTGTCCTAGGGTCATGGGATCAGCTTTTGCGACCTTTAGACAAAGTTAATGGGGGAATGTGGATTCACTTAACAACCATGATCCTAACTTAACAAATGCAGTGATTCACTTAACAGCTGTGGTGAGGAATCCGTAAAATAGAGCAAAACTCATTTAACAAATGTTTCACTTAGCAACATAAATTTGGGGTTCAGTTATGGTCATAACTTGAGGACTACCTGTACTGATTGGATTTGCAAAACATACTTGGTTTATTTAGAAGCTACGGTGGCTGGGTTCACACAACACTGTAAAGCTAAATCATTCCCTTGGTGCTGGGAATTGAAATATGGATATCAGTTCTCAGAATTCTCAGCATGTCATGCAGACTGGGGATTCTACATAACATGACCAGGTAGACCTAAGCTTTGTGTCTTATCTTCAGCAACAACGCATCCTATTTTCAGGTTACAGATAATTCTCATTTAATGATCCTAATCAGGACTGGCAACTCAGTTGCTAATTGATGTGTGTTCCATAAGTGAAACATCAATCACCGCAACAGACTTAAGTTCTCACTTCTCATCACAGTTGTTAAATGAGATATCATGGGATTGCAGCTTGTGATTTTACAGTTTCTCCATTGATTCTATTCACCAGGAGCCAGCTGGGAAGCATGCTAAATGGCAATCATGCAAGGACCAGTCATAAAAGTTACTTTGTCAGAACTATCATAACTTCAGATGGTTGCTAAATAGGGCAAACGTTAAGCAACAATTACCTGTACTGAGCAGGCTATTACATTTGCTGCTATTATTATTATTGTTATTATTATACAATTGTATCACAGCGGCCAGTTGTTTCGCCGGATTTGGCATTG